AAAAAAAAAAAAAAAAAAGAAAAAAAAAAGAAAGAAAGAAAATGTATGTAACAAGACCACGTTCAATCTACCGCAAAATTCCCGGTACAATTTCGATTCAGACACAGCCGGAAGTTCCGTATTCCGGACATTTAGTAGTTTCGGATGGTGAATCAGAGTCTATGGATTCCTTCTGCTGTGAAATGTGGAGAAGTGACAAAATCAAGAGACTCCCTTTCCCTTCTGATAAGATCTTGCAAGTGGTTCACTCGTCATTGCACGAGCAAGCTACCGTGACCAACGTGTGGTTCGTGCCGGTTCTTGACCGACCCCTCTCGGTCAACCGGTACTATATTGTCAAAGCCAGAGGAAGGCACAAAGGGTAATTTTAAATTTCGGTTATGTTCAATTTTTCGAGACCGTTTTGTTTGTTTTTTTAAATATATTCGCGTGCCACGAAAAACTTCTTCGTTGATTTTTGCCAACATCTGTTTTTTCGATACGGTAGAATTTATAAAAGAAACACGTAATTACAACTAGACAACAACTAGAATTAGCCAAACAACCAACCTATGGAACTTTCTTATGTTTCATATTGTTTGTTATCGGTATAGGCAAGCGTATACGTGTTCAAGAGAAGGAGACGTGGGAATGTGTTGCTTCAACTCCCAACAAACGGAGCCGAAAATTAGGCAATTCGATCACAGAGACAGATATCAACAATTCGAAATCCGACCTTACCCCGGAGGTGGGTTTTTTGCAAGATCAATCGAATGGGATGGTTATCCTCCGAGTTTCTTGAGAAGAGATGGGTGGGAAGTCCACATTGCTCCATCGTCTAAACTCCATCTTCGTGAATGTCGGGGCCTTATAAGTAACTCAATCTTGATGGAATATCGTCCCGAGCTAAGCTCCCCACTGCACTCCAAACGCTCCACGCCAGTCGTGCTCGGAAGATGGTATTGTCCTTTTGTGTTCGTGAAGGAGGAGAAGCTAACAACGAGAGAACAAATGAAGGAATCTATGGTCTACGAATTGTGGCTCGAGAGGTGGTGGGAAGAAGTACACTATGTACGAAATGAAGATACGAATAGTCGACGGACTAATGTCGTGGTTGTTGATGCAAGGGTGAAAAGGTTGACGTGCTCGGTTTATGGGATGGATGGCGAGAGGGAAGGTAGGCGTGATGCGTATGGGTTCGTGTGGTTTAAGGGTAGAGAATGTTGCACGAAGAGAGTCTTGCCCGTGGGTTTGAGTGGTGCGTTGTTCGAGAAGATGAGTTGGGTGAAGGAGACGAGGGGTTGGTTTGACGGGGAGAGGGTCGTGAGAGTTTGTGGTGATCGGGAGGTCGGGGGAGATGCCGTCGGGTGGAGGAAATTCGGGTGCTATGTTTTGGTTGAGAGCTTTGTGTTGAGGAGGATGGATGGGAGCTTGGTGATTAGTTTTGGGTTTAGGAATGTTGATAAAATTGAGTGCAAATGGGAGTGAGGTGTGTAGAAGTTGAATGGTAATATCATATGGATTTGTGTTTATGTTCTGTTTCTAGGTGTGAATATGATGATGATCAAGTGAGGTCATGAACGTTGTGGTGATTTGTGATTAAATTCGTTAAACATAAATAAATTACACAAACCACTTTTAAGATACTCTGTTGTGTTGTGGTTAATTTTTCCTTTACAAAAAAAATTCGCCCCCCCCCCCCACATTAAATTAAAGGATAATTCTATTGTCCGAAATTTGTCCACCCCTTTCCCGCGTAACTTTCTACTTGTCCATGTCCCCAAATCCCTGATAACATATAATCCCAAGATTAAAACCCCAATTCCCTTTTTTTCTCCCAAAAAAGAAAGGCCTGTTTCATTTTGATCAGGCCTCTTTATCCAAACCCAGAAAAATCAATACAACACAGATTTTTCATCAAGGATTAATTGATTAAATTAATCCATCTCCTACAACACTACATATATATAATATATATATTATATATATTAAAAAATGTCGGATTTTTCTAGATACATTCTGGTCGCATTAAACGTCGCCATCCTAATCTTCGGAGTGTACCACATTTATTTTGCCCGGGACGCGAGCGACCGGGCGGCCGTAAACCCGTGCCTGCGGCCGAGCGCCGCCACCGTGCAGGCCGCAGGCGTCGTCGGCGTGGTGGTGGCGGCCGTCGGGATCGTCGGCTCGTGCTTCCGTCTGAAGGCCCTGCAGTCGGTCTACCTTTGGGCGGTGCTGATGTGGACGGCGGCGGCCGCCGCCTTCTGCGTTTTCATCTGGGCGATGATGCCGTGGACGACGGCGGAGATGACGTACTACAAGATCGCGGAGCGCGGGGTCTGGCTGGCGGAGTACCGTCCGGCGCTGAGGAAGGTGGTGGCCAACGATAAGGACATGTTTGCCGTGAAGACGTGTTTTAAGGAGATTGATACGTGCCGGACCATGGCTAACCAAACAGAGACCCAAAAAGATGTTTTCATTGACGTAATTGCCCCTCGCCCAGTTTTTTTTTTTTTTCTTTATTTTTATTTCATATATTTTTTTATACATAACTAAATTAAGGGAAATGCTACCATCCCGTTATGGTACCATCCCGTTGGTTGTTTTAACCGTTAAATCTACGTGTAGTTAAATAAGATCGATGATCTAACGGTTAAAACACCCGCCGGAATAGTACCGTAACGGGATGGTAGCATTTCCCCCAAATTAATTACACACGGTTTTTTGGGCAGTTTGGTTGCTGCAGCCCACCAACACGTTGTGGTATGTTGGAAGACGATACGGGCCGTTGGGCTGCCGTTTCTAATGGGCTTAACTCAACGGACGACGAGTGCCAATTGTGGGCCCGAGTGGGCCGAAACTGTTTCAACTGCGCCTCGTGCGAAGCCGGGTACTTGGCCAGCTTCCAGAGCCGGTGGGACAAAAGCGTCATTTTACGCAGTGTCTGTATGCTCGTCCTTATAACCACGTCAGCACTGGCCTATTATGTCTTTATCAACGACCATTATACCGGAAATAATAAAAATAAAAATCCGAATAATGGGAAGCTTGTGAGTTCTCATGTTTGATGCACCAAAATTTATATTCTTGGGCTCCAAATGGGCAAAATTTATTACTTTTATGCTGGGTTATATATATATATATATTAACTGCCATATCATGGCTGGAATTTGTAAAGGAAAAAGATTTATTTTTCTCTTTCTCGCGAGATACGCACTAGTTAGTTGGAAAAAGAGTGTCATAAAAAATCATTTTTTTTTTTTGGATAGAATGGTTTTACTAGTAGTGAATAGTTAATGCAGCAAAAAAGAAAATATCGGCCAAAAATATCATATGATCCAAATTGGGCATATTTACCATTTGTCCCTTTTATCCAATCACATTCCTTATTAAATCAATTTACAAACATTTCTCTAATCTTGCGTTTGGTTAAGGATAATATGTGGGATATCAAGCAATTTGCTAATATTTTTGTAAGAGTGTGGTTCATCTTTCAAAGCCATGAGAAATGGTCAAACCCGGGTATTTGTCACTTAAATGCCCGAAAAACAAACAATAAGAGGATGTCAAATTATTTTTAACTCAAACTCACTATCATTAATATTATCATTATAATTAACTCAACATTCTAAATACAACACGTAAACCATTTCATATTCTCTTATTACTTAAATAATACTAATAATTTTATTAATATGTATAATTTACTTGTTGTAAATAAAAAATTGACATCAAATTAGTAGGTAAAAAAAAAAATAAAAAAAATTGAACAGTATTAAAATGTCACCTTTTTGTGGATAAAAAACCAAAACAAAACCACTTTGGATTTGTATTCAAGTAACTAATTTACAAGCAATACTAATAATATCTTCATTTGTAATCCACCAAATTAAACCCCAGCCCACATTTACTGGTTTATCTCTTTCTCAAATTCAAAAAAAATATCCACCTACAAATTAATTCGTGTCCCCAAAAATCCCAAATTAATTAATTAATTAATTAATTAATTAAATCCCTTGATGAACATTATAATCTCCTGAAATCCCCAGATGCTCTGTTTAACCCACCAACACGGCAACACCCATACAATACTCCCCACATTAACAATTAATTAATTGATTAATTAACTAATTAATTAATCATACCATTAACATGTCTACCTTCTCCAGGTTTCTCCTGACCGTATTAAACGTTGGAATCCTAATCTACGGCGTCTACCACGTGGCTGCCGCCGGCCAGCTCAGCAAGGCCTCCTCGTTAAACGAGTGCCTTCGGGACAGCTCCGCCTCCATCCGGCGGCTGGGCGTTCTGTGGTTGGTGGTTGCCGCCGTGGGGATCGCCGGAGCTTGGTCGGACGTGAAGGCGTTGCAGTACGTTTACGTTTTTGCCCTCGTGTTCTCGTCAGCGGCTGCCGTCTTTTTTTCCCTGTTCGTGTGGGCGGCGATGCCGAAGATAACCGCCGACGAGGTGTTCTACAGGACGTCAGAGAACGGGAATTGGCTGGACGAGTACTCGTGGGCGGCGCAAAAGGGCATTGCCAATGATCGGGACTTCACGGCCGCCACGGATTGTCTCAACCGGACCGAATCGTGTCGGGCCATGCGGAACATGACGGAGGATCAAAAAGCCGTTTTCATGGATGTACGTGTTTATTTTTGTCTATTTGTTAAAAAGATGATTAATTTGATATGCCATATGTAAAAGATAAAAGAAAAAGGTTAATAACTTTTGAAATATATTCGTAGTTTAAAAGCACGTTTACTAGGGTGGACAGGATTGGATTAGGTTGGTTAACCAACCTTATCATATGTTTACAAGGTAGTATTTGGATTAGGATTTGACTGATGTGTTAATGGTGTGGCATGTGGGTCCCATGTCTGGTAAATGAGTTGGCAGGTTACTTTAATCCGCCAGAGAGGGTCGGATTTTTTTATCCCTGCATATTCATTCCCATTTTGTCCAAAAAGTTAGCTGTTAAATGTCCTTTGTACCCCTAAATGCCAATTAAATTACAAATATAACCACATATAATGAATTTGGCTATCTAAAATCTCATTTTATTGTTGTTGGCTTTTTGGGTGAGGAACCCTAACTTTCTCCGCCCCCGACTCCCGTATTTTCCCCCACCTTCGTCTTCTTCATTTTTTTTTTTAAATTATTTAATTTTCTTTTTAGTTAATTCTAACATTTTTCCCTCGCAAGTGTCGATTGCTTCGTCTCCAGCCGGCGAATAAGATTTCCCTGAATAACGGCGACATAAATCAACTACTTCAGACCGATTAATCGGATGCACCAAGTGAGTGGCTTGTTAATTTCCCCTGTACGGACCCAATCGAGTAGGCCAAGGCGACCACCTTCTTAACTGCCCCTACAGTTTCGTACAGTGCCAATTCGTCGAGCTCGTCTTGCCGTTTACCTCATGTTGTCCTCGGCCGCTCTACAGTAATGGCATCGTCGTTGAATTTTAGGGCAAGAGAGGGAAAGATACTGAATTGAAGTGAGATTCATCAGATTTAGTTCGACAATAGGGAGGGCAAAATTGTCATTCTAGGTTTTATCATTAGCTTCACAAAAGTTTAGTAAACATAGGATGTGATAAAAAAAAGTAGCATCATATGGTAGTAAACATAGAATGGGATTTTATAAATGCTGACTGGATGGACAAATAGTCTTGTCCCGCTAAATCCCTGTCCATCCTAGTAAATGAGGCCTAAGTGGATAGAGTGTTTAATTCATAGTTTTAAAAGTTCTAATGCACATTGAATATTCCGAATCACCAAAATTTTACACGAAACATCAGAACGTAGGAACGGAAAACTTCTGCCAAAATTTAACACATATGATTACGAAGTACCAGAAATTAACACGTATATGCTCGGAAAACTCAGGATATATATATCTATATTATTGAATGTCGTATTTTTGTGCAGTTTGGTTGCTGCAGCCCTCCAAATCGGTGCGGTTTGCTGCAAGACCACACGGGTCGTTGGGTTGTGGCTTCGTACGGGCTCAACTCCACGGACGACGAGTGCCAAATGTGGGCCAAATTGGGTGGGGAGTGCTTCGAATGCGACTCGTGCAAGGCGGGCTACTTGAGTAATTATCAGAGGCAATGGGACAATAACGCGAACACAAGGGTGAAGTTAATTCTCGTGCTAGTTGCTACGTCGGCCTTTGCCTACTACATTTTCATCCACGAGCCTTATAGGGAAGATACTAAGGATCGAAAGCACGGGAAGTTCATTAGCACTAATGTTTAATCCATCAACATGAGTTTTTTCTTTAGTGGGGATCATAGGATTATCTTTAGATAGATATAGCCATGGATGGATTAATTTGTGAGGGAAAAAAGGAAATTGTTTTCATTTTTTTTAATTGTATTTTTCTCTCTCCTTTTAATTTTGTTTTTGGGGTGTGGGAGTTTTCTAACATTGAAGAAGAGATGAGCATTTTGGAACTATAATAGTTTTTTTGCATTGATTGTCCAATGTATTTAATGTCCAAGCGCGAGCGGCTCGTGAGCTAATCGACTTGTTTGCAGCTGTACAACATAAATAACTTAGTAACACTTATTTATATCATAAAATTTTTGCAACATTACACATGTAATAACAAAACTTTATAATAACTTATCTGTATCATAAAATTTTTTCAAGATAACATACGTAACATACCTGTGAGAAACTGTGGGAAAAATGGGTGCGAACCCACTAACATAAAGCATACCATAAGCGGGAAAAGTCGATATGAAACCCAAATGGGGTTCCATCCCAAAACCAATTGGTGGAAGGAGGAGTAGACCATTAGACTTATAAGGTGGGTCTATTTTCTATGTATGAACGATGTGGGACAACTCACAAGTGATATTCTAACACGCCTCCTCACTTGTGAGTCCTTCAGAAGCCCAAGCCCAACGGATAGACTCCCATAAACGGGTACGTGGGGTACGTGGGGAAGCATACTCTCATAAACGAGTACGTCATCGCACGGTCTCAATAGAACCGGCGTGTTAGAATATCACTTGGAGTTATCCCACATCGTTCATACATGAAAAATAGACCCCACCTTATAAGTCTAATGTAGAAGGAGGTGTAGCCCATTAGACTTATAAGGTGAGTCTATTTTCCTTGTATGAACGATGTGAGACAACTCACAAGTGATATTATAACAATACCTTTATAATAGTAGCTATTTGAAAAGCCTAATGGTTAGATGATCTTTTTTTTTTTCAATTAATATGCACACTTTCAAATTACAATTTTATTAAATAAGTATGATGAATTAATAATTCGTCTAATACTTAGAACAATTCAACGCTTGATACAAAAATTTATGTTTTGCAACATGCTACTATGTGTTAGAAATTTAAATACAATACAATACACATTAATTAATATATTAATAGCTCGTCTTAATAATCACAAATATCTAGATGCATAACTTTTATCAGAAGTTCTATGGAGCATTCAGATGACGCCCTTTAGAGTCATTCATAATTGATGCACCGACACCTGTCAAAAAATATTTATTATAAAATACATATTAATACATTATTTGTGAATAATTATAAATGATTTCACAAGTCATGCGCATTCTATTCAATTACTCCATAGCAAAATTGACACATATTCAAAATGTATTTATTACAAAATACATATCAACACATCATTTATTAAAAATTATCAACGATTTCATAAATCGTGCTGTCCGATAACTCAATAGAAATAATTCGTATATACCATCACATTCCTGAAATAGAAATATGGAATGTTGACCCATCTCAAGCCACGATTTAATTTACCAAATTTAGATTAATTACGACCAAAAACAAATATTCCCCCACAAAATCTGGTGCTAGTCAACATTTTTCCTCTATTTTTCAGCTCCCATTAAACCTTTTTAATCCATGCAAAACATTTTTGTGTTCTTCACCAAAAACCCTCATCAAAAAATCCCTCCATTAACAATCAAAAGCCTTCCTCATCCCTCCATTGATTAATTAAACTAACCAACATTTAAATAAATAAATAAATAAATAAACCATGACCACCTTCCCTAAGATTCTACTTACCCTCATGAATGTCATCATCCTCATCTACGGCCTATACCATATATTCGCTGCCGCTGACATCAGCGAGTCGTCGTCCGTTAACGAGTGCCTTCGGGACAGCGTCCGCTCCATCCGGCGGTTTGGCATTGCCTGGACGGCCGTAGCCGTCGTCGGGATTGTCGGAGCATGCCTCGACGTACGGGCCCTACATTACGTCTACCTACTGGCCCTCGTGATCTCGACGGCCGCCGTTGTAGTTTTTTGCATGTTTGTGTGGGCCGTCATGCCCGGAGTCCCCGGCAACGTCGCGTTCGGATTAACGGCCGAGCACGGCGTGTGGCTGCGCGAGTACGGGTTGGCCGCCCAGAAGACAATCGCCAACGACAGGGATTTCACGGCCACAAAGGTATGCTTCCGGAGGATCGACACGTGTCGGATCATGAGGAATCAGACGGAAGACCAAAAAGTCGTCTTGATCGATGTGCGTCTCTCTCTCTCTCTCTTATGTTAGACAATCTGATCGGCTAGAAATTGTTCCATTCATTCATTTTGGGGTTATATATATATATATATATATTCGTGTTAATTTGCAGGCGGGGTGTTGCAGTCCTCCGAACCGGTGCGGTATGGTGCAGGCCGCCCCTGACGGGCATTGGGTGGTGGCGCCCCACGGGCTCAACTCGACAGATGCCGAGTGCCAACAGTGGGCCCAAGTGGGCCTCAATTGCTTCGACTGCGACTCTTGCAAGGCCGGCTTCTTGGGCGCTTACCAGAATAAGTGGGACAACAATTCGGGTGCACGAGTCATGTCCGTGATGGGCCTAATAGCCGTGTTGTCCGTAGCGTGTTATATATACGTCGTCGATCGGTATCAAGGGAGTATAGAGGATTTGTCACAACATACCAAGCTTGTGAGCACTAATGTTTGATATATGTTTGTATGGAGTGTTTATTCAGGTAGGGGTAATTTAGACTATTAATTACAAGTGGCTGAGATCATTAGTACGATTTGGCCATGTTATGATAGTTGAGATTGGTGTAGGGTAGTGTTTCTTTGCTGCTATCTTTTAAAGTTTGTAACATTTCCATGTCAGAAAGCATAGTAATTGCATCAGACCTTAGCAATCATGTCTCCCTTTTCACAGAGAAATAAGGTTAAATTAATACTAGTGCGTGGCCCGTGCGATGCACAGCAAAATAATATTATGATTGTGTTATAAATAACATTAATCAAGATCCATCATTTTCAAATTAAACCATATTTAGTCACAATCCGACTGGGTGGACCGGGAACCGGTTTATAACCAGTCTAATTCGCTTGAATAAAATATTTGCTATCGAATTCGTCAACACCAGTTGGTTGAACTGGTATGATCGATATTTTCTAAATAAATTATTTACATTTAAAATCATTTTAATAAAATTACATATTTAAATAAAATAGAGATTTATAAATTGTTTATCAATTAGTTTAAACAATTGAAATTTTAAATTGTTTAGATATTTAAGTAACACATTTTATTTGAATTTACTACAAAAAGTACTATATATGTGTGTGTATATATATATATAATAAAATATTTATAAATTAAAAATCTGAAAAACCACAAATGATTTAATAAAATAACTTGATCGTTTCAATGATGGTTTGATTCTGAAAACCTTATATTTTCTGTACATTAATAAAAATTATAATAAAATATTATTTTATTCACATAAATATAAATAAAATGATATAAATATTTATAAATTATTAAACATGCTTCATAAAGTATTGTTAATACAATTATTTGAAGTTTGAATTACATCACATTCACGTAATAGAGTATTTTCAATATTAAAATTTAAATTTAGGTTCAATAATCGATTTAATCTGGTCAAACTGATACGTAAATTTGTCACATAGGACCAATCAAGCTGTGTGAATTTCTTTGACTATTTTAAATAACACCTAAAAGTAATTTAATCAACCTGTGCAGTACCCTAATTCAATCACCGATTGATCTAAAGAAATTTTCTTTAAAATATTTAATTTCATGAAATAAAAATATTTTATGATTCATATAATAAATGTCTACACCAAATGATACTAGATTAAGATTATAAATTATATATATAAAGACGAATTAACTAATTTTACTTTATGCATATTAATAATAAAAAATAAACAGATTTAAAAAATTAAGATTAATTTAATTAATTAACAATTTAAATAATCTTTATTAGCATTCAATATTTTTTTGAAAGGCACAAATATAGAGATCGATATTCTAAAACTTTTGTTATATTTTGAATTGAGATTTTATAAACATAGAGACCGAGATTTTAACATTGTTCATTGGTTCTAAGGAAAAAAAAAATGAACACTTAATAGATCTTAGCCTGATTTTTTAAAATAATAAAATGAACTTAAAACTGAAATTTAAGGTGATATTTAATGATGTATGATTTTTAAAGAAAAAAATAAGTAAAACTTACTATTTATGAGCTGCATTAAATTCTGACATTTTTTTTTTGCTCATATTTTTGGTAAATATATTGTCTCTATATATATATTTAATAAAAAATATTGGTAAATTTAGTTAAGAATTACAAAAAATAATCCACAAATTTAAAAAATACAATTTTTGAAAAGGTTGATCAATTATAGGGAAAGATTAATATTTAAAAAAAAAAAAGAAACTAAAACGAATATACTTAACATATAGTAAAAAATAAAATTCAACTATTGAAAAGATTGCACGATTTTTCAATTAATTAAAAAGAAATCAAAATAAAATGAGTTGGATAAGGCATAAATGGTGATTGGTGAACATATTTTGGAATGAATTTGATTGGTGTAACCCATTCAAATCTCAAATTTTAAAACCAATTTGACACATTTTTTTGTAACATATTCCTAAATAAGTTGGATAAGACTTCAAATTAATTCTTAATTTTTTTTAAGTCTTAAAATAAGATGTAATAAATGCTTTCCTAAATTTTTGGATTATTATTTTTAGTAAATACTAAATATTAATTATTATATATATATATATATATATATATATATATAT